CCCACGGCCTCCTCGCGTTTCCATTTCCCCCCTCTGGAGCCGCACTCTCCCCCGGCCGATGATGCCCACGCCGTCCCTCGCTTCCCTCCGGCCTCTCTGCTGCCGTCCCGCTCCGACCCCGACCCCGAGCGCGGCGCCGACACCACCGAGACCGAGGAACCACCATCAGAATGGCGCCGGGACCTCCTCCCTCCATCGCACCCCTCGGCCGCGCCGCCCAAACGCAAACCCGACGTGGTGCTGCCGCTTTTCTCCAGGCCGGGCATGTTCCCCGAGCATCCTCGCAGCCCGTTTGCCGGCGGGCTGATGGGCATCCCGGTGTCTCCGGCTTTATCGCTGACCCCCACGCTGTTTTCTTACAGCCCCTCGCCGGGGCTCAGCCCGTTCGCCGCCGCCGCCGCGGGGAGCAGCTGCTTCTCCTTCAACCCCGAGGAGATGAAGCATTATCTGCACTCGCAGGCGTGCTCGGTGTTCAATTATCACCTGAGCCCGCGGACATTCCCCCGGTACCCGCTGGTGGTGCCGCCGCTGCAGTGCCCGCTGCCCGTGGATGAACAGCCGCAGTTCCCCATCAAACTGCAGCCGCCGCCGGCCGGGAGGAAGAACCGAGAGCGGCTCGAGAGCCCCGAGGGAGCGGCGGCTGCTGCAGGATCGGCGGCACAAATCGGAACCGCCAGGGTCAAAGTGGAGAAGGAGAGCGAGGAAATCTTGGGGGAAATGCGGGGAAAAATGGAGGAAAAAATACCGGAGAGAAAGGATGGAGAGGAGGAAGAGGAGGAGGAGGAGGAGGAAGGGAAAGCGGCGCTGTTCGCACGTCCGGCGGCGATGTGGATGGCGGAGGAGAACGCGGAGCACGGGGAGAAAAACATAGAAAAAACAGCGGAAAAAACAACGGAAAAAGCAGCGAGCCGGGATTGCGGGGACACCGCCGSGCTGGAGAAACGCGAGGATGCTCTGATGCCGCCCAAACTGCGGCTGAAGCGCCGCTGGAACGGGGATTCGCGTCCYGACGGCGTCCCCGACGAGCGGCACAACGGCCTCTGGCACCTGCCCAAAGCCGTGGCCACCGCCGGCCCCGACGCCTGAAATCCGGCAAAACCGCAGGAAAAAAATCCGTGTATTTATGTAGCAAGGTCGCAGAGCAGTTTTGGGGGAAAAAAAAA